CGGGTAGACCTTGCGAATGATCTGGTCAAAAGTGAGGCCCTCTAAAGAAGAGGAATTGTCTTCAGCACCAAACATGCTCTAAAATGGCTTGGATGTAAGCAGAAAATGAGATGGAAATAATAAGCAGATAACTAAAGTGAAAAGGATAAAGAGAAAATGGGCAAAAGACTGGGCAATTTATATACAATTGAAGCAGACAATTTTCTTCCAAGCTCTGGCTGCGGAAATAAAATTCGAGCCCGTGTGAGGACAAACAAAAATGTAATCATGTGGGAATCAATTTTCCACTTTTTCCTTTTTAACGGCAATCCAAAATATTGTTTTGTTGTCGCAATTGTTGAGATTGTTGGCAAACAGTTATTTTTTCTTGGCTTAAAATTTTTAACGTTACAATTTGAGCATTTCATTTTGAACAGACTCCAACATAATAATTAGTTAATGGATTTAGTAAACTAAAGGTGCTGGCACAGACAATAAAAATTAATGATTTTCCGCTGGCTACCAAAAAAATAATATCGCTATGCGCAAAACAAGTATGCTGTTATGATACTTGCATAGTAAAACACAATTCAAATCATGTGGTAAAAAATTAATTTAAGTTAGTGTTAGGACCAATAAATTTGTTTATTTAAAATCAATAGAATAATTAAATATAGTCGCTTTAAGTACCGGCTGGTATAAATGTCATTATTTAGACTAACAGCCAAGTCTGTTATTTTTTTAAATAAAATTTAAATATACGCGTATCATAAAATTATGTGCGGGACGTGGGCAGTGTTAAATGGAAATTAAGTGCTTTTTATTAGCTCTATCTAAATTAAAACAAGTGCTGGCTCTGCTTTATGTAGAAATCTATTTGCTTTTACCTTTACCTGTGCATATGTCACATTGATTTTTGCTTAAATAAATTAGATTTTTGTTAATATACTGTAATGTAATCCTTCAGCAGCAATATCAGCACGTAGTAATCTGTGTGGTAATTGTGAAAATTGGTATTTTCATTGCAGTTTATTTAATCTAGCATTCACCTATTGTTTGTAGCAGTCAATAGTTATTTAGCAAATAATATTTTTGTTCACGCCATTTTGCTTTCAATTTTCAATTCTATTTCAGTCGTAATAAAACAATCGATTAGTATTCCAAAGTAAATATTTGGCCTTTTTTGCGCTTTACAGAGCTTATCTATCAATGAAAAAATACCTTAAAGTAAACATGCGATAGAAGTCGGTATTTTTCCTGCTCCAGTTATAAAAATCACGATTCCACAGGGAATTTTATCCTCTTTTGCATCCAAAACACCCTATCAAATTATAATTTTCTAAAAAAAATATACTACCAGAAAGAAAAGCACTGAATTTTTTGCACTTTGTTTTAACACGGTAGCAGCAGGTCCATTTACTGAAATTAAGTGGGGCTAACTGAGAATATTTGGTGTTTTGTTTGTTTTTTTTCGATATAATTTTAGAGAAAAATGGCAAGCTCAACAGCACTATACTTTCCAAAAGGAAAAGCCTTTCTATAATTTTTTAATCGAATCCAAACCTCTCATACCAGCAAAAAAATGAGTTAGTAAAAAAGAACACGGCACCTGTCCAATCAATAAAAATAAAAATAGAATCAGCAGCGGGCACGACCAATAAGCACACAGATACTGTCCGGTTGTATGCTTGCTTCTATTATTGGAACTTACTAATTGTTTCCCAAGACTTCCATTTTTGCCTCTCCCCAAAAATGAAATCGTCAGCGTTTTTTACAGGTTGGAGTGAAATCATGCTAATCTATCAGTATTACCTCACGCACTTTTTATTTTCCAAATACATTCTAGACATTGAACTTCTGGAGAGACTGAAGCTCTCAGGTTCAAATAAATTGATTTATATTTCCTATCCATCTTTTATTCTTAAATTTTTGTAAACAACATACCTTTTCTGCGTTCATTTCATTAATTTTGACCAAATTGTATTTCCATATTTCCTAAAGAATAAGAATATCATTCTAATCAATGTCACCGATCCTGTTCAATCGTCCGCGTATCCTGGTACTGCTCATAGCTCTGGGAATTATTGCAATCAGTTTAATTGTCACATCGGACCACCACAATTACTGGGGCGCACTCGAAGGATGGGTACCCCCAGAGAAACCTCATCGTAGCCCACACTACCCACACCGCCAGCCAATCGAAGACCAAATGCTGCTTGACCGCCTGGCAATCATATTGCCAATTAACAACAACACAGACTTGCAGTTCTACCGCAACACTTGGTTCGGTGACTACCTGTACCCAGTGTGCGACTGGGAGGAGCCAGGGTGCAAGATAGTGTGCAACAAGACTTCAACATACCGCACGCTAGATGAAAAGACGCTTTGTTTTTCAAGGGCCATCAAGTCGTATGATAATATAGTTTTTTATCAAGCTTGACAATGATTTGTTTGTCGACAAGGGGTACATACTCGATTTGATGAGAAACAACACAGGATCCGACCACCCTGTATACATTAGCCACCACACCAGATTGGGCGACAAGGGTAATCCAGATACACTAAATCGTGTGTTATATGGGAATGGCAAATTCTACATGTTCAACCAAAATCTCGTCAAGTGCTTGGATACAGAATTCAAGTACCATAGTCCGAGAAACGAGGACTTTGTATTTGGCGGCATGGTCAATTCTGGGTGCGGTGAGAAAAACGTGTATTATATTCAAGAGGATGATAATTTTATCTGGCATAAGCGGTATACTCACAAGAACAAGGTCATTAATTTGGGATATATCAAAAACCATTAATCGCTTTGTGCTAGTTTGATATTGCATAAAATGAATATATATTTTGCAATTGTTAATAGTTTATCTAATTCAATTTTGTTATTTTAACAATACGTCAATCCTTGCACTATATTTATGTTGAAGAATTAATATTTTTATAATAAAATTATCAGCAGGATTAACTGGGTCAATCTCAATTGTCTAGCGTTTTTCACGCCAACTGACATTGAAACAATTGTCACGCTTCTCCCTCAGCTGTCGTCGCTTAAGGTTTTGGCGGTCGTGTCTCTCAAGGGCAAAAAAAACAGCGTACGATTTTGGTCTGCCCGATCTGCACGAGGACCTTCAATTATATGTGCCGACTGTAGCCCCGCTATCCACTTCAGTAGTATTATTTCAGCTTGAGTGTGGCGAGAGGTATCATAGTTGCGGGTCGCTTCAGGGTGCGGTTTTGGGCCTTATACTGCATATACCCTCACTGTCCGCTCTGAAAATGCCGTTTGGGTTGGAGTAGCGGGCCAAGATGTTAAAGGAACCATATGGTGCCAAGTACCCGCATCTGGACAGCATAATGTTAATGTATTCCACTATAATCTACAAGTATTTTGTTGATTAAATGAACGACATAAAATATGTGGACATGTAGTATTTCTATCTACTTGTTTTTTACAATTTTTGAATTGAAATATTATTATCAAAAATGCCCACTATCTATTTAATGTTTGTTGGCCATTGCTTTCACGCTACCCAAATATATGCATTTGTTTTGCGCGCCGTGTGCCGCATGCCGTCATTTTCATTTTTTGTGTCGTAAAAAAATTGATTGTGCGAGTTTTCCGCAGTAAACCTTAAACACTTATTATGCCAGGCATGAAAAATGCATCGCCATCAAAATGAGTATTAGTAAAATTAATTGTGGTTGCAGCTGAAAAATAACAATACATTTTTATTATTGTTATTACTTATTCAATGATTGGTCACATTGCAATTAACATTTTAAAAAAAACACGTAATTGCAATTACAATCAATCTGTTATTCGCGTGCAAATAACACGTTTATCAGTGCGTTTACTTTATTGACTCAATATTATACTTTTATTTTGCTATTACATATTTTTTATATAAAAGGCAATGTATTCTAATTTGACAGGCGCAGACGCTCTTCTCCATCTATACATTTCCATTTTTAATTTCCAACACAGCCAACACAACCCATCCACAAACATCTATTCTTTGCTATAAAGCTATTTTCCACCATTGTTTTTGCCGTGACTGCTGTCACTGTTGCGATGGCCATTTTAACGGAAAGAGAAATAAATGAATTCAATTATTTCAGCCCCCTTTATGCATCCAGCAACAAGCAGTTTAAAGATATAGTTCCTCTTCTTTTTGTATTTGCGTATGATGTGAGATTGGGCCCTTTTTGGGACTACTTATCGCGAGATGTAGCCTTGAAAAGAGTTGAGCGTATAGAGGAATATATTAGCAGAAAAAATAACACACCCGAATTTAAGCAGGGCGGGGCCTATTACCTCCCGTTCGAATATCTAAAGGAGGCGGTCAGTATTTTCAGACAGATGTTACCAAAGAATGAGATTAAAAAGTCTGACCCGGAATTCTTCTTCCAGCGATCCCTATTAAAGTAGTAAGATAGTCGTTTTCCGAGCTGTGTCTATTCTAACAGCTATTTTATTGTTTTTTTTGATTCAGCATGTAGCTTCTCCATATAGCCAATAAATAAACAATATTAAACTCAAGCTGGTAATAATACACAGGCTGTAGGCCGAATCCCACTCGAAATATTTTCTTTTAATACGTTTCTTACCAAATTCTTTGAATAAACGCTTCGACAGTTGCCTTTCTAGCTGTTTGTTGTACTTTGTAGTTGTCTGTGCATATTCAGGCTATATACAATGCTGGTCACGGATTTCTCCCTTTTTTGGGTTTCAAACGTTTTCTCATTTAATTGGCAAAAACACTGGCAGAGCCACCAGAAGTGGCACAAGAAGTGGCACCGACGCCAGACACAGCACCTGCAGTGACAACGGCAATGGTACCACCACTGCCTCTGGCCCTCAAACAGCTGCCAATGACCTAGTCCACGACAGTCACCACCATTCTCCAGGCGGTGAATGTGGCAGTGGATAGGAAAGACAGTCGACATTATAAGAATGGCTGGCGCATCACCAATACAAGTGACTCCATCCGTTGTTCCTTTGCATTAAAGATGCTCCTCCACTCACTGCCTGTAGAGAAAAAACAGCGGAAATAGTACCCCAACGCATACCCTAAACCAGAGATGGGCCTATTCGGGCCATTGAGACACAGGGCCGCATGTTCATGTGTCCATGATGAGAGCGCGGAATTCTGACACAGGATGACTTTTACTGGGATCTTTGGAACCCAGCCGCAGATCTCGCAGCTGAGATGGTCAACAGACTCCAGTTGTATCCAGGACTGAGGGTTTACATATTGAAAGAACTCAAAAAGCGTGTGAATGCCCACTACCAGGATAAGAAGCTGGACCTGGATATGAGACGCGGCTGGAAGGAGTTAACAGAGAACAGGTACACAATGCTGGTCAAGAAACTCCAAGGGCAGTATGCAAAACAAGCAACGGTGTTTGTAAATGAAATCATATATAAACAGCACAACTGGTACAAGAGGTGGTGCGACCTACAGATCGAACAGGAAATGAAGAGATCTTTGACGCCTGAGGAACACCGATTGTTGATGAGAACTTTAATCTCAACAAACATCCTAGCTACCAAATCTGTGACAAGAAAAAGATGACAGCATGCCAAAGTGGCCGCGGACGACAGCAATGAGGACGGCAGATATGCACACTAACTATCTTGGCCACGATTGATGCTTTAGTTGGCAGATCGGGTGCTCGGGTTTAATTTTACTAATACCCTGGCAGACCGTTGAAATGTGAACCGTTCTATGAACGGAAAATAAATAATACAATACTATGTATTTAATAAGATGTATACTATGAGTGCTATTCACTGGAAATGTAAGAGAGAGCAACTATGATATATGTATCACCGTATGACTAAAAAAATAAGCAATGTGGTGTGTGGTGCCCAACACACATTTCAAGCCACTATCTTCCCTTTTCAAGAATCAAGGTCGCCCTCATGGCCACTATACACATTTCTGTTATTGCTGGCTGACATCAAGGAACACCATGATGCTTACAGCGCTGCCCACACAGCGCTGCCCCCTTTTTCAGTTAAGTAATTTTTAAGACTTGAATATATCGATTTAGACCCACATTTTTATAGAGCACGACATGGTGTAATCATGCCTGGCTGCATCCAACTCAGGTATGATCAACATTTTTTTGACACAGTAACTTGGTGCAAATCTTATTATAAAAAAAAACTACATAGCGACTTGTTCATAGTAATTCCCTTGCATTGGGTGGTGGCGCTGCCGATTTAGCCATTGAGGGGACATTGGTTCTGCTGTTCAAATTTGGGGGATTGCATTGTGCGTGGTAATTGAGACGGCTGTCATGGACTAGAGTGTTGCAAAACGTAAGCGTTGCAGTGAAATATTTTTTGTCCGGATCAACCTGGAACCGCTGGCATGGCACCCGTTGTCTAGCGGCCCTTAAATGTGTGAACAGCCTTGAGATGTGAGATATAGTAGTGAAAGTCTTGTGCGATGCGGCTCATTACTGGGGATTTCTAAGTGACTAAACATGGTGTCCGCTGTTAGGTTGATATTGTCCATTGAAAGCTTGCCGTGGGCACGGTATATATCCTAGACTGCTAGACCGTCTCCGGCAGATTAACAATAATAATAAAAGCTGGCTGATCAATCTATTCCAATCAACTAATAGGAACTAATCACTTGCATTGATTTAATCATGATTCAATATGGCATTGTAATGATTAATCCTTACTTATTAAATTATTTTAATTTATTTACAAATACCTCAGCGCTTTGAGCTCGCCATTTTTATTAAATATATAATCCCGAACCAGACTATCCTCATTTAACATATTGAAATAATGTTTTTTATTATCAGTTTTATACTCATTTAATACAATTGATTTATATGACCTGCTTTGTGATGAACTACTGCATCTTAATTCTTCAATAGACTTGGGTATTTTATTGTAAACTTCTTTCTTCCAATATTTATCCATAACCATACGAACTTTTTTAAAAGTTGTATTATTATCGATCTTCATATGTTTTTCAATACGTAAATCTAATTCCTGTATGTAGTAGTGTATAGTTATTTTTTGACCAAATAATTTATACTTAATTTTACCTGAACATTCAGAGGATGAATACTGGTCAGTTATCTGTGCATCCATTACCAATTGTTTGTGCTGCTTGTTTATAAATTGAGTTGCTTTGGATAATTCTGGTGCCATTTTCCCAATAAAATGTTTATTTAAAAAATGATGGGTAAATAATAATAAATTTGAACAAATTTAAGCTACTAGTAAAGTGTGTATTAAATTATTTTAGGTTGGAATGAAAATAATTAAAAAAGACAAGGATTAAAATGTGGGGGTGGGAGGGTGCATTTTATATACCAATTTAAACTTTGTTTTCAAACCAAACCATTATTTTGGTGTAGATTGCATCCCTTTCCGCAAAGCTTTTTTTACTTTTTTATTTGCATTTTTACAATGTCTGTCACGTTTTCCTTTATATTATTTTTAGAATACCCACTAAATTTTTTACTTTAATGATGTTGTTATAGTAAGAGGGGGGTGTGAGGAGCACTAGTTGTCTAGTGTTAAAAGTTAGGGGTGATTTTATAAAAGGGTTTATTACTGATGTTTCTAAAGTACTACTAGGGGCCAGCCTCATCTTATATGTGCCCTATCGCCTTTGTTGTGCACATTATCAATTGTGCGCTCCGTTGGTGAGAACTGGATCTTCTGTGAGCAGACCGGTATTTTGGCAAGTCAATGTTGTGGTTTTCGTGCGTGTACGCTCATGCGTGTGCATTTCAGAATGGGGAGCATGTTTGGGCATCAGTGTAATGCCTCCCTAATTTAAGCCTGTGTTATCCAATTAGCGTCCTATCGATCAGCACGCAGGTGGAAACCTGTTTCGCGATTCTTGACCTCAACATCCACTTCCATATCTTCAGTCTGCGCAACAACCCACTAAATTTTTATTTTAATGATGTCTTGTATAAAGCAAATTCCATTGTTTCCAAACAGAAAAAAGAATTAATTAGAATTTTCGATGCTACGACTATGATATTGTTGCCTTGATACAGATTTAAATAATTAATTAAATTCCTGATCATGACATAGCTTTTTATGTTTTCTTATTCACAAACAGGTTTTCTTTTTTTAAAGGTTTTCATTCTTCTGTGGCAATAAAGTTACAAAATAAGAGGTTACAGTAAATTTTGTTGCACAGCCCGAGGATATGGAAGTGGATGTCGAGGTTGAGAATCGTAAAACAGGTTTCCATCTGCATGCCAATTAATAGAGTACTAATTGGATTATGTAGGTGTAAATTAGGGAGGCACCATAATGATACCCAGACATACTCCCTATTTTCCAATGCACACGCATGAGTGCACACATACGAAAACCACAACATTTACATGCCAAGATACCGGTCTGCTTGCAGAAGAACCAGTTCTCGCCAACGGAGTGCACAACTGGCAATGTGCACAACAAAGGTGATGAGGCACATATATAAGACGAGGCTGGCCCTAGTTCTACTTTTGATTCCCTTGATAATAAAAACTATAACAAAAACCAAACATACCTTTAACAGTAAAAAAACTAGTGCTCCCCTCAAATCACAACAATTTTATTTACACATTGCGTGATAAATAACGCCATTATTAGTTGAAATAACTTAGTTAAATATATATAACCAATTTGTTTCAATGCACTTGTAATATATCCAGTCCGCCTTGAAAATAGTTTTTAAAATAAAAAAATGTAAACTATACGTATATAACATTTTCAACGATAAATATAAAAAGTAATACTTAATTACAAATTTTGAAACGTTTCTCTTTATTTTTCATTCTTCCTTATATGCTCTAAAACGGGGTTTAAAGAACAATTTTTTTACTAAATGAAACCGATTATTTTCGCACTTTTATTTTCACCCATCCAAGCGCTCAGCTACATCGACCACCGTGCACTACGCACAAGTTTCCCAGGGTCCTCCAAGGAATTCCCCAAGCTCCAATCCCTCCTAGTGAAATCCACAGAAGCACAACTCGACCGTGCGTATTATTTCTTTCCAAAATTCTCGTCGAGGAATGGACTTGAGGGCATTGGAGGAAATTAAGATTTATATGGTGGGTGTGCAGAGAGATACGGAGGTGAAAAGCGGGAATGAATTCTACTTGCATTTTATGGATTTGAAGGAAGCTATGGCTTTGTATGTGGAGATGAGGCCGTGGGGAATTGGCGAGTTTTTTGGGTGGTCTTGAGCATACATTTATTTTTTTAGTATAATGTTTTATAGTGTTTTTAAATATAGATAGTTTATTTACTTAAGCGAAGGGATCAAAGTCACCGAGATCGGATGATTTGCCGCCAGCATGTTTCTGTTGCTGCTGAAGCAGTTGCTTTTGGTTCTGGCTCTGGTTCTGGCTCTGGTATGTCTGGCCAAACGACAGTGCTGATAGTGGAGCCATCAAAGTAGATGGTGCAGGACTGACCGAGTTCACCAGAGGCTTATTATTGGAGGACAATGATGAAGGTGGTGGTGGTGGCGGGAGTTTGAGTAAATTTGTCGTTGTTGATGATGCCGTTTGAGGTGATATTTTCATCGCACCGAGTTTCCCGCTGGGTTTGTGCACAGACACCATTGTGTGGCGTGTTGATTGCAAGACCATCGGCTTCAAAGGCTGCGACTGCAAAGGCTGCGACTGCAAAGGCTGCGACTGCAAAGGCTGCGACTGCAAAGGCTGCGACTGCAAAGGCTGCGGCAACGGTTGTGCCAATGGTTGCGGTGAGCCAACAGCAGATGTTGCAGCAAACCCCACCGGCCATTTAATTTCATCGTCGTCCTCCTCATTATGGTCCCAATCAACCGACATTCTCTGAAACGGGTTCGCCAATCCACCGCCCCCTTTAACTCCACTCCTTCCAGCACTACCCGCCCGAACCTCCTTTCGGATTCTCTCCTCCAACAATCCGGCCACCTCACACAGCACCTTTACCTGGCCTTCATCCATTTCCGTCTCCACAGCCAACGCCCACACCTCACCCAACACCGATCTAGCCACCGCCCTCGTGTCCAAATACTCCGTGTTTAATCCCAATGTGCGGTACATTTCAACCAGGGCCATGACCACATCTGGCTCCCTGGTCTTGGTCTTGAGCAGCATTGGGAGCACCCTTTCCTTGATCAGGGCGCGGGGGAGATGCGGGAGGAGCAGGTGGATGCATTGTAGGGCCTGGGTTTTTTGCGCAAGCATGGTAGCGCGAGTATACGTCAGCTGCAGTGGAGGGAGAAGGGCGAGTAGGTGGGCGGGCGGCAAAGAGGGGGCGAGTTGGGGGATGGTGCGGAGAAGCGCGGTGCGTACGGGGTCGGCTTGGTTGGCGAGTGAGGCGCGCAAAAGTGGGTGCATTTCAGAGCCACCTTGCTGCTTCTGGTTTTTGTGCTGCTTGGAGGAGGTTTGGGTGAGCCGGATGATCAGCGGTAGATTCTCCACCAGCACTGCTTGGGCTTCGGGCGGAATCCCTGGCAGCACATACAGTGGCTCCAGGGCTTTGTCCAGGGCGGCGGCCATTTCTTCCGAGTCAGCATCCTGCGGCTTCTGGTTTTCTGGGAAAACAAGGCCCTGGGCCGTGGCGAACACCGCAGGCAGCGTGTATGGCAGCAGCGGGTGGTCGTTCAGATGGGCGAGCAACAGCGGCAGGATTCTGCGCCTAGTCCTCGGCGAAAACCCCGGCAA